ATTTGTCCACTACAGATTATTACTCCTCTTTAAATCCTACAGATTTTTCTTAATTATAATGTTTTTCATAAAATAATGGATGATATTTTAAGTTCCCTCTACTTGTGTTATATAATTAGATTACGTTACTTTGTAAAAAACTAGCTTTCTAAATAAAAATCAAACCTTACCTTCATGTATTTTTTGTGTAAAACTTGGTAGATTGCTTGACATGTTTCGGGAATTATTTTGCTTAAGGCTTGTGCAGATATTACTGTAGTAAATTTTAGTTCTTGGTAATTTCTTCCAGTTGCTAAATATACTAAGTGACACATAAATCCGAACACCCAGTTTAAATGGTTTTATTTTAATAAAATTTAGTATAAGTACTTAATGAAGCATAATAAGTAAATGATAAAAAATTTCAAAATGATTGCACTGCTTTAAAGCCCTTTGACCTTTAATAATGTGCGGATGCACCCTGATGTGCTACGCATTCTCCAACGCGCCTAGGCATGCTTCTGATCAGGTGGTCAATGTCCTCCTGTGGTATCTCATTCCAGGCAACCACCAACTCCTCTCGAAGTGCTTCTAGAGTCTGAGGAGGACGTTGCAAATTGAGCAATCTCCTACCCATCATATCCCACACGTGCTCAATTGGGGATAAGTCGGAAGATCTTGGTGGCCATGGTAACAATGTGACATCATTATGTTGAAAGAAGTCTATTGTGACTCTTGCAACATGTGGTCGGGCATTATCTTGTTCGAAAGTTGGATCTGCCAGGGTGTCAAGATAGGGTAAAAGATGGGGTTCTAGAACTTCGTGGATATAACGCTTCGCGTTCATGTTACCTCCGATGAAGATTAAAGGTGACCTGGAACCATAAGCTATAGCACCCCAAACCATAACTCCAACAGTGTGATGAACATGTATTTCAACAAAAAACTGTGGATTCCTCCTTTCACCACGGCGCCTTCTAACCCTGGCACGACCATCGTGATGCCTAAACAAAATCGAGACTCGTCACTAAAGACAATACTGTTCCATTCCTGATCCCAGAGTGACCGTTGTCTGCACCACTCAAGGCGATTACGTCGGTGTTCTCGAGTTAAAGGGAGGACCCAGTGTGGCCGGTATGAAAACAAGTCAAAACTTCTCAATCGTCGGTAAACACTTCGCATGCCAACAGGTCTTCCGTGTTCTGCAAACCATTCATTTGCAATGGACCTGGTAGTGGAGAAACGCTCCCTTAAGGCCAATAATCTTAGGCGGCGATCTTCACGGTCTGTTGTTCTACGGCGGCGTCCAGTGCCCCTTGCTCTTTGCGTACGGCCTTCTCGAAGCCATGCCTGACAACACCTAACCACAGTGTCTACACTTCTTTGCACTCTAACTGCAATTGCCCGAAAAGAAAGTCCAGCTTCCCGAAGTCCCACTATACGGCCCCTATCAAACTCACTAAGTTGATGAAATCGTACAGGTCTCCGTACTCTAGGCATCGTAACCGATCGTAAAGGATGTCAAGAACCAAAATCCGCCAACGTTGATTCTTTACTGCGGCTGAAATATTCATTTTTAGAGCGTTAGTGAATTAAAAAAAAGCAGTATAAAAACCGGAATGTCCAACTGATAAGGCTGAACATTTTTTCACTTGTTATTTACAGTAAGATAAATACATTCACCAACTTTTATTAAAATAAAACCATTTAAACTGGGTGTTCGGATTTATATGTCACTTAGTATACGTTAGCGTTGCACTTAGTCATTCGTGCGGAGATATTGCGGTTCTCATCATTGTATCTTGGCGTTTTATTAATGGAGTAACCATGTTCAAAAGTTCCACATAAGTTTCTTCGTCCATCCTAAGGTAATTGCGCCAGTCGTCAGGTTCTAATTTCAATTCTTCTAGAAGATTAATATGGGAAAAAATTTTCCGTTTTAAAAGCCAATTTCTAGACCAATGTCGACGCTTTTTCTTTTCTTTTTTCTTTAGTATATAGGCGCACGCCACTGCTGCTATACCCAAATATTCCTCCTCGCACAACATCGCTCACTTTGCAGGTCACTTGCCAGAACACTGATAGTTTTGTACTAACGTCTGTAAGCTAGCGATGTACACGTTTTTGGTTGCGCGTTCATGTATGTACGTACATGTCTTCATACATCCACGTCCGTGTGTAGGGTTCGACGACAACGGTTTTATAATTGCCAATTCTAAATCGGTTGTTTGTTTTTTCTCACGCCACAGAATGGACATGTATTTACAATATAGAATTAGGGGGCATATGTTTCAATATTGTCTCCGAAGTAAAGTACCTTGGTGTCATCCTTGACAGAAAGTTATGTTGGAAACAGTTTATCTCTTATATTATTACGAAATGCAATGTAAGCCTCAACTTCTTTCGTATGATCGCTAAAACTTGGTGGGGTGCCTACCAAAAAATTGCCATTTCATTTTATAGATCTTATATACGGTCAATAATTGATTATGTTTCCTTTTTGTATGGAACAGCCTCAAAAGCATTGCTCCGTAAATTAAATATAATCCAAAATAAATTTATTAGGATTTGTTTGGGAGCAATGTGCTCCTCTCCGATCGAAGCGCTGAGGGTTGAAGCTTTGAAACCACCTATCCATCTCCATAGGGAAATGCCCGCAAAAAAATTCCTTCTCAAACAAATATCACAGGATACACTACTACCTTCAAAAATATGCCAGCTGAACACTTTTGATCTCACTGATAAGTACTGGTAGAAGAAACATTCTCCTCCGTTGTGTGCAGCCTTCCAGCAACTAAATCTAGATTTAATAGCTCTCAAAAATCTCTACACCACAGACGATATTGATCTATTCCATTCTTTGAAACAAATAATTACATAACTATTCCCAGTTACGGTAACAACTCTCATATCGATACAACCATTCTCTTGTCCATATGCAATAGTCACCATGATTATAAACATATCTTCACGGATGCTTCTAAGTCTAGTTCTGGTTCAGGTTGTGCCTTCTATGTTGTTGATGATGATTTTTCTGCAAAGTTTAAACTACCAGATTTGTTCACCATATTATCTGCCGAAACTATGGCTATCATTCAAGCATTACAGTATATCCAATTTAATAACATCCAGAAAGCTGTAATATTTTCCGATTCATAATCTGTCATCGTAGCCTTAGGAAGTATTAATAACGGCAAGTCACCTATCAATATCTATGTTCTCCTTCTCAAACAAATGTTGCTCGATCTGAAATCCGCTAATGCAGACATCCATCTTTACTGGATCAAAGGACATATAGCGGTCTCTCGCTTAATGAAAAAGCAGATGAATTGGCTAGACTGAGCATCACAGATGGTATCGTACTTCAAGTCACTCCATCGGTAGATTACAACTGCTTTTTCAAAAATCATATGTTCGAATCCTGGTCCCGGGAATGGAAAAAATATTGCTCATCCCACCCGTTCAGATACACTTCCATCCAACCAGATATACCTCGATTATGTTGGCATGAGATTGCGAGGAAGTACATATCCTATCATATTACTCGTATGAAAATTGGACATGGCTCCTTCCCTTCGCACCTCGCTAGGTTGAAACTAATACCCTCGGAACTTTGTGAGCATTGCAGTGTCAAAGGAGACTTGGATCACATCTTTTTCGGTTGTATTAAGCATCTTACACACTGTGACAATCTTTACCTAAACTTACTCGTGCGCAGGTTTCCGGCTCCGTACAATACACAATCACTTCTCTGGCTACAAAAACCTGAAGTGACTTCCTGCTTTATGGAATTCATCAAAAATTCTGGTAACAACACATAGAGTCCCTAAAATAATTAAATTTATTCTCGTCTCCCTTTATCCGTCATCCAGACAGGGTTAATGGTTATAAATTATAGTGTTACCTATATAAGTTTTAGCGTTTTTCCTCTGTCCCTTCGATATATGTATTTTCATTCTTGTTACCGGGCGAGAAGAATGTGTGACCCTGTCAAATACCTCAAATTTCCTATTCTCCTGCCATACTAGATTAGTTTTCCTCGTGATGCTTTCTATACAATATATATATAACTTGTTTCTGGTTGATGTGCCATTGTTTAAAAAAAACGTTACTAAACAACTCTCGAATAACGAACTACAAAGACTAGTTTTGCTGAAACAACTGACAGTGTAAGAAATGAAAGAAGAAAAACTCAAGAGACGGCTAAACAGAGATGTTGATGAACAATCCAATTCAAGCAATAATGATATCATTCACGGTGAAGATGGACAAGCAGATTTCAAATTATAATACTTTTTAGAATCACTTACGAAATAAAACAATTGTGACATGTGACATTTTTCTAAGGTGTTAATAATAAAAATGATAAATACATTATTTCTACATTTAACTTACTTCAAGCAAGAGCAACAGTGATATTCGCTGACTCAGATCTCCTCCGTTGCCCGCTACTTCTAATATTATTATTGTCCACCTCCTCTTCTGCGGGATTCGCAAATGGGATATCTTCTAATGGGAGCTCCATAGGATCTAGCTCATCTTTTAAACATTTTGCTCCATTGTGTAATATATAAACAGCATATGACAAATTTTGGAACTTTTTATATGGATACCCGCACTTTATATTGTAGCATTGGAAATCGTTGTTTTAGTTGACCAAAACTATCTTTCAATTATTACACGTTCCTTTGTAAATAAATTATTATAAGCACGTTCTTGTAGTATATTCGGATTTCTAAAAGGTACCATTAGCCACGGTGCTATGCCATATCTCCTAAGGCCGGCCGCACATTGAACGCAGCACAGCCCAGCACAGCTTAGCGCAGGGCAGCCGAGACTTTTCTAACACGTGGCAGTAAAGGCAGCGCCGCATATTGTGCGCAGTCGAGACATAGTACCGGCAGAGGATTTTTGTTTTGCTCTATCAGCCTGCGGCTTCTGTGGACGAAACAGAGTTTTCCTATGTACTCTGTCTGTCTCGGCAGGTAATCAAGATTTATTTACCAGATATTTCAGTGAAAATGGAACAATTAATAGAATGTGTACGCGAGAATAAAGTTCTTTATGATACGGAGGATAAAGACTATATGAGAAGTAAATTAAAAAATGAAATATGGGACAAAATTGCAGTTGAATTAAACTATTCAAATGGTAAGTAACAGCTCAACCTTTTATTCGTATTTCACGTTTACAGTGTTAGGTTAGGGTAAACAAATAGTTTCACAATTAATATAATATACTAGATTATTTGTATACAAAGAGGACCAAAAATAAACAAAACATCAGAAAATAATTTTCTTAGTAATGTCCTCGTTGTACTAATTTTTGTTGCCATGGTATAGAACCGGCTGGTGAATTGTAGAAGTCTGTGAATTTTTCTCTAATTAAAAACGCTTCATTCGCGCCTCGTGTTCTATTGGGGGCTATTGGAAGCAACTGCGATTCAGGCAACATCTCTATCTCATCTTCTTCTTGGTTTACCGTGGATATTGTATGACTACGAAGAAAATTATGAAGAACGCAAGTTGCTTTCACAATGTCATCTACAGTATCCAATTTGCATTCAAAAGGCCGCCGATATACTCGAAATCTGGCTGAAAGTATACCGAATGCACATTCCACTGTTTGTCGAGCTCGAGACAACCTGGTAATATAGAGTCATTAAGAATATATTAATAAAACTACTACTTGAAATACACACAACCAAACTTATATGGAATCACCCAGTATTAAGATGAAATATTATTTTGATATCTTTTTTGTTAGAAGCAAATAAAAAGTGCATGTATTTACTCACAAAGACAACTTGTTTTGAGAAAACTGCTCTTTACTTTCCAGTGATTTTTTTCCAAATTAAAATTCGTTTTCCCCAAATAACATGGTAATTCCATAAAAAATTGGCTCTGTGTATATTTACCTATAGTTAAACACCTTATTCCTATAGTTATTATTAACTTGACGTTTTGGAAAAGGTCGCATTAAATTTTTGGTCAAGGGAAACGCTTCATCGCATACAAAAACATATGGTATATCGAATTCTTCACCAGGTAGAGACTTAGGTGGTGGTATTTCTAACGTGCCGTTGCTAAGCTTCATCCCTAAACCGCTGTTTGAAAATACATTTCCATCACTAAATCGGCCCATTGAACCTATGTCAATTGAGGTAAATTTATCATTTGCATCTACAGTAGCCATTAGGACGATAGAGCAGTACTGTTTATAATTGAAAAATGACGATCCACTTTTAGGCGGTTTTTTTATCGTTACATGTTTTCCGTCAATTGTCCCCAAACAGTTGTAGAATTGCCATATTCTCTCAAATTCTTCTGCGACTTTTCTCCACATATCTATTGTTGGATTTGGCATATATAATGGCTGCATGTTTTTCCATATTGCTTTACACACCTCAGTGACTATTTTAGAAACTGTTCTTTCTCCTATTCTGTAAGAAAATCCGATACTTCTGAATGTATCTCCTGTTGCCAGATACCTACAAAAATTAACAACTTTGCCACACTCAGTCAATCAATTAAAATTTTTATTGCCTCAACTATAAAGTTTTACAAATAATTTACAAAAATATGTACCTAAAAGACAGTTTAACAAAATAAAAACAAAAATTAGGAATAAAACATATCACGGTTATAAATCATTTATAATTCTATATATGTTTTTTAGGTCAAATTGTAAAAGAGTTGTGGCGAAAACTAAGAGACTGTCATCGTGATGCTTTGCGGCGACAAAAAAAGTCTAAAAGTGGGGACAAGGCTAAAAACATAAAGCTGTGGACATATCAAAAACAAATGGAATTTCTTATTCCATACATGGCAAATAGGAGTACAACTGGAAACATAGAAAGTAACCAACAAGATGAGGCTGGAAATCTTACTGACAATGACGACATTCTGTCGCCTTCTGTGGAAACTGCAGAAGGCGCAGAAAATGAAGGTGAGACAGGACAGGAGAGAGCAGAACATGTCCATCGGTCATCAAGAGATTTACCGCAGATTGCTGTACCCAGCAAATCGAAGATATCATATGGAAATAAAAAACGTATGGATAATTTAGTGCAGCAAACTTTAGAACAGCATGCCATTCGCAGAAGACAAAGAGAGGAAGAGCGGAAGCGAGAGGCAGACGAGAATCCAGACGGTTTGTATCAGTTCTTTCTTTCAATGTATCATGATACTCTGCAAATGCCAAAGGCATCACAGTTAAGAATAAAGGGAAAGCTATTTGAAGCAGTCCAAGTTGAAGAAGATCTATCCGTGTCCTTGGAATCTGAAGCGGCACAACGGAATGCCAGTAGTGTCGAAATAAACAGTCCTGCAACTAGTCGTTGCTCAGCATACGAGCATGAACTACCAGCAATAACGCATGAAATATCACAGCAATCCTTCCATCTGCAAAGAGCAACAGATCCACCATCGCAACAATCCTTCCATCAGCTATCAGCACCACCACGATCACAATATTCAGGCAGTATGTCTTTAAGAAATTATATTGAAACTTATGATAATGATAATACTACCTAATATTTAACCATTTAAGAAATTATATTACAATAAAATATGTGTATTTACTTAATAAAACATTTATATGTAAATACTATGGAACTTTCTTACCTTAAACACACCGCTAACTTTAGTTCACTTTCAATAGGCTGTTGTGCATTACATCCACGTCCTGTAATATCATTGATCACAAGATTATGAAGCTCGTCAAACTGATTTTTATTTAAACGAAAATACATTTTCATTTGGCCATCATTTAGTTCTTTCAGCAGGTTAAATTCCCCATGAGTATTCCTTTTCTTTAAATAATCATTCATCCATACAGACTTTTTACGTTTTTCAGATATACTGTATAATAATATCAGAGTGTCAATTTCTGAATCCGATTCTGATTCAGAATCTAAATATGGGTCGTTAACAGCAAACATCATTTACAACCGAAAACTGCACACATGGAAGCAAAATGACTCCGTTCAATATGCGGTGAGCAACACATGCAGAGTAGTGCTGCAACCTGTGAAAATTGTTCCTCGCAATATTTGAAATTTCTGAATTGCTCCAAATTCGTGAATCGTGAACAGATCCTGGCCATGAAGCATCTACGAGTACACTTGTAAACCACTCTGAATTGCATGTGGCTTGTACATTAATGCTGTGATATCCTTTGCAGTTAATATATTCATCGCTATGAATAGGTGGCTTTTTTTATTATTATGTGGGTACAGTCTATAACGCCCAATGCACATGGAAAAGAATATTTTGATTGCCATTTTTGTTTCGCCTCTATTATGTCGGCAGCAGTTTTTTATCCACAGTCCGCATTTTTCTATTATCTTCTCAGTAACTTCCGTCACTACTTTTGAGACAGAATTTTGATGAACACCAACATCTTTTCCTACTCCTGATTGGAAACTCGGATCACCAACGTATCTCAAAAATATTTTAATTTTATCAATGTTACACGTAGCAACACCCCTTCCTTCTCCAGATTCTGTACCCAAAAAGTGATTTGATATCCACTCTACGTTTTCTCTAGTAAATCGGTATAACACTTTAAAATCACGATCACATTTACGTCTTCTAGGTTTGTAATATTTTTTAAAACACAAATTAAGAATGAACACAGCCATAGCTGTACCATAGTCAAACTGAAGTCTGCTACATATCAGACTCCAAAATTATGGAGTACATTCTCCTTCCGAGGAGCATGAATACATGTAAGTTATTATTCATAGGAAAACTGAGAATGAACTAAAAACAAATTATACATAAGAGTATCTACTCAAGTGGAGCATCAGCTTCTTATTTTTATTCATATCAGATGGAGTGTTTGCCCCAAATTCTTGAGAACACACTAAATGCTCATTTTTATTCATAGGACCCACTGTCTCACAAGTTGTTGACAAACCGCACAGCAGTCGGTCTATTGTATCTAAGGTTTGCTCGTTGATGGTTGCCGGTGTGTGGTGCAAAAGCCACAAGCATGTGTTTCCGGACTAGTCGGAATTCATCAACGCGCAAACACGAATTTGCAAACTAGATTGTCGGTGTGTGTCTTCTTCACGCATGCATTTTGTGTACAGTGTCTCGCGTGTTTATTATCAGTTTGTCGTCGCTTTTGACAATGTCTGATGTAAAGGTGCCCACAAATTAGCAACCATGTGCGTCATTCATGTATGTGAACCACGTTTGCGCGTTGATATTCGCTAGTGTGTGGGCAAATTGTTACATACATATACGTCGCAGAAGTTTTCTGTTTGTAGTTGAATTCCTCAACGTGCACGCATCAACGTACATACATGCTTGCCAGTGTGTAGGTAAACTTCACGCTTGCTTATTATAACTTCTTGGTTCAGTGTCTCGTATCTGATAATTTTATTTATGTCGTAATACTTCCAAAATGTCCGATTTAAGAAGTTTTACAAAAGATTTTATGACAGAATTCATTGAACTTTATAAAAGTTTTCCTTGTTTGTGGAGAACAAAATGTAAAGATTACATGAACAGGAGTAAAAAAGATGCCGTTTATAACGTGTTACTGAAAAAACTGCAAGAGATTGAACCTAATGCGACAAAGAACACCGTTAAAGCTAAAATAAATAGTATTCGCGGAAGTTTTCGAAGAGAAATGAAAAAAATCGAAGAATCAAAACGATCAGGTGCAGGAACGGATGAAATCTACGTGACCCATTTGTGGTATTACGATTTACTTTTGTTTTGCAAAGATCAAGAAGTTCCTCGGGCATCAGTCAACAGTATGGATGATCGGGGAAGTGAACGGAAAAGTGACCAAGAAAATGAGGATGAAGGGGAGGTAAGTAAAAGTCAAATAATCAGTCTTTTAGTTTATTATACTTTAAAAAATATTTCTAAATACAATAATTTTTAATCAATGCACCATTCTTTGTTGCCATTCTAAGGCACCTTCATTATTGAAGTAATTCATAAACAGCTCCCTTATCTTTTTTGCCTCATTGGTCGGCCTACGGTTATGGCCCTGTTGTAAATCATTAACATGAGTTGATTGTATGCCCAATTCAATAGTCCCATCATCAATATTTTCTTTGTACAAATTATTTTCTGGCGAATATACGGTAGCATATCTTCGTCTTAAAAAATTGTGCAATATACAGGTTGCCATAACTATTTTGTCTATTGCTTCTAAATTAACAGAAATCTTTGTGTGAAAAATTCTAAATCGATTAGACAAAATTCCAAAAGCATTTTCCACCTTACATCTTGCTCGCGATAATCGATAGTTAAAAATTTTTTTTTCGTTATTTAGGTCTTGCCGACTGAATGGTTTTAAGAAATCTGAGCGAAGTGTAAACGCTTCATCCGCAATAAAAACAAAAGGCAACGATGTATTACTATTTCGTGGTTTTGTTGGTGGCGGTAAACATAATTGGCCATTTTTAAGTTTTTTGCAGAAACTGCTGTATTCAATAACTCCTCCATCAGATATGCGACCATTTATTTCAAAATCACACATAATAAATTCCAAATTGGCATTTACTACTGCCATTAATACTAAGCTATGAGTCCCCTTATAGTTGTAAAAATATGAACCACTTCCAGCAGGCGGAATAATATTCACGTGTTTTCCATCAACTGCTCCTACGCAATTAACAAAATTACATCTTTTTTCAAAGTCGCTTGCAATTTGTAGCCATTCATCCTCTGTCGACGGAAACTGAAAAAAAAATAACGCATTATTATTATGATTACAGGAAACCCAAGATGTAGATGAGGAGCAAGATGTTGATTCAATAATTCAAACTCCATCTCCAAGACCAATATCGCATTCATCTACAACTTCTCGCACAACAATACATGATAGAGACTCTACACCTGCATCATCAACTGCCAGTAAAAGGTTATGTAAAAAACGAAATGAGAAAATTGGTCAGCAAGAGGACGACGTATTAACTATGATTGGAGATAGTCTACGTACTAGGCCAACGAATAACGATGATCCATGTTATATTTTTGGAAAAAATGTTGGCGCAAAATTAAAGACGTTATCAAAAGAAACTAGACTATATACAGAAAAACTTATAAACGATTTATTGTTTGAAGCTGAAATGGGCAATATTGATAAATACACCAGGATTGTTACATCGCCATCTGATGTCTCAATTAATCAAATTTATTCCCAGTTAGCTACCACCGAGGCTACCACAAATCACAGCAACACCGGTGTTAATCCACCCAATCAATACCGTACTTATGTGCAAATGCAACCAAGTTCAAATATTTATCAATCACATAACAATACAAGTTCAGCACAAGTTTTATCTCAGCCCCATTCAGAAAATAGCATTACATCATTTTTTGGAAATTATCAACCAAATATTGAGGACTAATCAGTCATGTACAAGGTTCTTTATGTATTGACAATGTGTTCATACTTATAACTATATAGTAGGCAGGAAAATACTTTTAGTTAGAAGACAGGGAAATACTTTAATTGTAATTTATTTTGTTTTTTTACAGAATATATTATTTAATTTTGTAAAACATACATTTAAAATAAATTTATTTTCTTACCTTCATATAGTCATTCCTTAAAACTTGAAATATGGCACTGCAGGCCTCTGGAATTATTTTGCCTAATGATTGAGGGGAAATTATTGTTGAAAACTTTAAATCTTCGTAATTCCTCCCAGTTCCTAGATAGCGAAGTGTGGCAGTTAATCGTTCATGAGGTGATATAGCAGGTTTCAGTATTGTGTCCTGCTTCTCAATTAGTGGCGTTACTAACTTAAGCAGCATCACGTAGCTGTCTTCATCCATTCTCAGATAGTTTCTCCAATCATCAGGTTCTAAGCGTAATTCTTCCAGTAAATTTGTATGTGTAAGATCTTGTCGCTTTAAAAGCCATTCCTTCACCCACTTAGTACGTGCTTGATGCTGTTTTTTACTTTTGTTTCTCTTTTTTTTACCAGGCATGCATACGCCACTGATAAAAACATGAACTCGTCTTCATCACTCATCGTTTACAATGAAACTACTTGTTTGACACCCAAGCACCCTCGTCTAGGGACAACAGTGCACTGGCGTATATATATGACATACATGTATAACATTCGTGTGTGACACACATATACGCCAGTCTGTGGCGGGTTTAAGACACTTTTCAACAGCCTTTCTGACGGATTTTATTGAACTTTACAAAGGTTATCCTTGTTTATGGAAAACTAAAAGTGATGATTACAAGGATCGAAATAAGAAAGATGCAGCTTATTTAGTTTTATTGAAAAAATTACAAGAAATTGAGCCAAATAGTACAAAACAGTGTATGAAAGCTAAAATAAATAGCATCCGCGGTAGCTTTAGAAGAGAAATGAAGAAAATAGAAGATTCCAAACGGTCAGGCAGAGGGTCAGATGAAATATACAACCCACATTTATGGTATTATGATTTATTGCTATTTACAAAAGATCAAGAAATGCCTCGAGAATCGGTCAGCAATTTGGTTGAGAATCAGGAAGGTGAAAGCGAACAAGATGCTAATAATGAAAATGAGGTAAGAAAAGTACAATTTAGTTATTGCAATATAAATTTATTTGTTAAAAATACTATTTACTACATTACATGGAATTAATGCACCATCCTTTGTTGCCATTCCACTGCGCCCTCATTATTAAAATAATGCATGTACAACTCTGACTTGTTTTGCCTCGTTGTTGACTCTTTGGTTGAGACTTTGTTGTAAGCGAATTAAATTAGTTGGTTGTTCATCCAGCTCAATAGTGCCGGTACTTGTATTTTCTGTGTACATATTATTATGTGGTGCATATACAGTCGCACATCTTCTGCTTAAGTAGTTAGGCAAAACACAGGTCGCCATAACAATGCTATCAATTGCGTCTAAATTAACAGAAATTGCTGTGTGAAAGATTCGAAATCGATTAGACAATATTCCAAACGCATTTTCAACTTTACTTCTAGCACGCGATAGACGATAATTGAAAAAAATTTTTTCGTTATTCAAATCTCTGCGACTGAATGGCTTCAAAAGATTTTGTCGAAGGGTGAATGCTTCATCGCCAACAAAAACGAAAGGCAACAGTTTCCCGCTATTGCTTAGTTTTTTTGGCACCGGTAATGATAATGCTCCACTCTTCATCTTCTTGTAGAAGTGGCTGTACTCTACAACTCCCCCGTCAAATATACGCCCATTTACACCAAAACCCCACATAATAAATTCACAGTTAGCATAGACTACAGCAAGTAGCACCAAACTATGTGTCCCTTTGTAGTTGAAATAATATGAGCCACTTCCTGCAGGCGGGATAATTTGCTTCAACACAGTTCACAAAATTGCATTTCCTTTCAAAGTCGTTTGCGATTTGTATCCATCCGTCTTCTGTTGACGGAAACTGTAAAAGAATAACACGGGGTATTTTAATTGTAGGAAACACAAGCAACTGAACATATAGACGACGTGGAATCAGTGATGAGTCCACCTACAACATGTACAGTTCTATTCATAAAAAAAGCGTACACGAATTAGAATGAGAGGAAACCTTAACCTTATTTGCGTAAAACCGGCTTGTCTAAATGATTGTTTATTGGAGGTTATCACACGTCGTAGATTGTCAAAAATGCAAAGCATTGACGTCGGTGTAATTCATTTCGAAAATGCGTGGTGGTAACGTTTGATAAACTTTGACAGAAGAAAATAAAAATGCCTCGTCAGTTGTCTGAAGTTGAAAAGGCTCAAATTGTATCAAGAATCGAAGAAGGATGGTCAATCCGTGCTATAGCGCAGTTGTATAATAGAAATAAAAAAACCATATTGAAAATTAAGCAACGCTGGGAACAGGAAGATTCCCTAAAGAGGAAAATTGGTTCAGGTCGTCCCGAACTTACCAACCCTGAACAGGATGCTGCTTTTTTGGGATATTTAAGAAATAATCCATTTGCAACTGTAAGGGATGCTGTTATTGATACAGCATTTCCTGCCTCCCAACCTACCGCCAGCAGGAGAGTAATAAAATCTGAACTAAAATGTCACCCTGCTGCGAAAAAAATGTTTCTTAACGAAGAACGGCGACAATCAAGGATTATTTTTGCTTTAAATTATATATACCGCAATCCTCAATTTTGGAATAGAGTCATTTTTACTGATGAAAAGACGTTCCAGTCGACTTATAACGGCCAAATTCGTGTTTACCGTCCAAACAATACCAGGTTTGAAGAGCGATATACTAACCCCCTCAATTCTAGACCTGGGCGTTTCTCTGTAAATGTATGGGGCTGGATAAGTGTTCATGGACCTGGTGTTTGCTGGCGAATAGAGGGAAGATTTAATGCCGGAAATTACATTTTACATTTTAGAAAACATATTGTTACCAAGTGCTGAGCAAATATATCCCAATAATACGTTCATATTTCAACAAGATAATTGTCCAGTTCATACGGCCAATGCTGTAACCCACTGGTTTCAAACCCATAATGTGGAAGTGCTGCCTTGGGTCGCTTATAGTCCCGATATCAATCCAATCGAAAATATTTGGGGTATAATCGTAAAAAAAATATATAATCGAAATTTTAGGCCACAAAATTCAGAAGATTTATGGGAAATAATACATGCGCGCTGGGAAGAGCTTGATCCAAATATTGTATCAAATATAATTCAGTCAATTCCGAATAGACTGGCTCAAGTAATAGAAAAACAGGGATATATGACCAAATATTAGATTTTATTTATTCTTGTTAATCGTTTTTTGTTTCTATTGTAATTTTTATAAAACTGTTAAGATATGAAATAAAGAAATACATTTTTGTTACTGTATTGAACTAATGCCCGACGCTCATGCTTTGCATTTTTAATAACCTTTAACATGCGATAAGCCGGTTTTACGCAAATAAGGTTAAGGTTTCCTCTCATTCTAATTCGTGTACGCTTTTTTTATGAATACAACTGTACGTCACGTTCATCTGCAACAAGTGACCGCAACCCACATGTTGATTGTCCATGTACATCGTCAGTTATCACTAAAAACTCAAAGAGAAAACGGAAAAGCAAAGCAGAAGACCAAGCCGACGAGGTATTAACACTGATAAGCGCAAGACTACATGATAGTATGGCTAATACTGACGATGGTTGTACCACTTTTGGGAAACATATTGCAGCGAAGCTACGAATATTACCAAACAAACAAAATTATATGTCGAGAAACTGATAAATAATTTATTGTTTGAGGCGGAAATGGGCAATGTTGATAGAAATGCCAAAATTGTTACGTTGGCCAATACATCGACAAATATAATTAGTACTGACGTGAATAATTACTACAATCTTGATTCACAGTCAAGTGATTATTTTCAACCGAACACTTGTCATACATTCCAACAGCAGCAAGTATATGAAACGTTACAAAGTTCTTCGGCTACTCTTCAATCGAACAGTACCGCTGCAACGTTCTTTGGCAATTATAGCCCAACTGAACAAAATAACTAATTAACGTGTTATTCCCTAATTGGGTTATTAGTTTTGTATTAGAAAAAACGGTTATTATTTCATTGTTGTTTCAGTTTTTATCACATCAGTTTAGTTTGAATTCATTAGTACAGGTTCTAGGTTTTGTCATGATTTTTGTTTTAGGTTTTTGTGTTTTCTTATTATTAAAGTTTTGCTGACTATATTTTTTATGTTAAAGTAAACATTGTATATTATACTCA